ATACATTTACATCTCTTTTCGTTGCGCTGGCGAAAAACTATAAAAAATTGAAAGCAATTTGCCAGCAAAGAAGAAAGGAAAAACGCGCACAGAAAAAGTATAGAAAAAACTATGTAATAACACAAGGGAAAATTATTTTTCCAAATGGCAGCGAAAGAGCCAGAAATAGGGGGGTGGAACAACGATGGAGAACAGGGTGGAAAACTGAGCAGAAAAGTGTGGCAGGGGGGGGGGAGGACAAACGCAAAGTGCAATATCGCGCGCTGTCTGCATATAAATTTTTGGGTACTGAACGCACAAAGGGAGAGTCGCGGGAGTCCCGCATTGGTGGTGTTGGGAGGGGGAGAGGGAAATGCGTCTCTGATAAGGATGAAAATAAAATGCGATAATTTTCCACAGAATGGAGCAGAGAAAAGTGGGAAGGGAGGAGTGTCATAGCAGTGGAATGACAAAGTATCGGGACGAACAACAAAAGCGTAAGTCATAAAAATAAAACAAAAAAAAAGTTTTCCATTGGAGCGTCAACGAGACGACGACGAGCGTCTCCTCTTCTCTCATTCTCGCTCTCTCCCTCTCTACCTAAATCTATAACTCTTCTCATATGCATCTCTTTGTCTCATTACTCACTCCTTCCTATATCTACATATATTTCTATATTTTTGACTCTTTTCTGCTTGCTATTTTATGCATGAGTCGCACGTTGCATCCTTCAAACGTGAAGCCCTTCGCGTCCTCGAAAAACAACAAAATCTGTTTACCAATTTGATTTGCCTGCCACGCCCAGTGCAATTAGGGCGCCGAAAAGCATCGTAAGAGTCACTTACACTCGATTCGAGAAGGCAGGTCCACTGAAACAGTGGTGGAGGGTGGAGGGAGTGGGAAAGGGTTTTCAATGCGGTGACTATTTATATTAAATATAAATTGAAGAATATCTATGGGGACTCTATGGAGAGATTCGTAGAACTCTACTCGTGGCACAGCTCCCCATTCTCTTTTATTGTACAATTTTTTCACTTTTCGTCTTTAAAGCGGGTAGTAAGCGGCACCCCATAAATCATGCACTGAATGTTTGAGAGAGTAGATATTCATGTGCCCCTTTTGGTGGCGCCACTGCGCCTCCAGCAGCAGATACTTTGGTAAAACAGGCCTCAAGTCTTAGGCCCCCATTGATTGTTATGTAAGCGGCTTATAATTTCTTCTACCCGAAAAGAGAGCAAGAGAGAGATAGCAAGAACGAGCTGCAGAAGGAGAGGGTGTAGGTGTAGGAGGGGGTAGGCTCTCTACCGAAATAAGGAGAATTATAATTTGTTGTTGTTGTTGTTGTTGTTGGGCGTTGCCCCAAGTGTTGATTGTTGTTGTGTGGGCGGCAGTGGCTATCGGTATCGTTATCGTCACTGCTGGCTGCTGTTTTCCCTACTTATTTGCTTGCTTCTTTTTTTGCGGTTTTTCCACATCTGTTTCCCCATCTTCTGGTTGCTGTGGAAATTGCTGTTTGCCGAAATGGAAAATGTATGTTTTCGGGCGCTTAAAAAGTAAATTATAGATGTGGTCTTCTTGCAGGACTTCTCTCTATTTATTTCCTTGGGGCAACCATTCCCATTCCCATTCCCATCACAATGCCAATCACAAGCGAGAAAATTCACTTGCGGCATCACTGAGTCGTGCAGGAAATCACTGGGAGTGGATTTAGGCTGGGCTGGCAATAAATGGGCATACTCGCAGATAGAGGGCGGAATGAGTATGCCAATTAGCCAAGTCAATGCTTAGGCGAATGTGAAAGGAAAGCTGCTTAAACAGCAATTGAACAAAATATATAAATGGAAATTGGGCTAGAAATATATTCCTCAAGGAATATTTTACATATTTTTTTATTTTTTGATGGAGATATTATCATTTAAGTTGCTTTTACTGAAACTATGCCCATACAATTTTGCTTAAGCTTTGTGTAAATGATATGAAATGATATAAATGAAGCGAGTTCTTGGAAGTTAATTTGATTTGAACTTCTTTAATATTATGAGTAGCGAGAGTCTCTCCCGTAACCTATCCCAACTTTTGTATCATTAATTTCCTCCAATATTTTCATTCTACCAATCAAAACTCTACAATAAATTCTCCAAATACCCAAAATTTACATTCCCACCAAACGATCTCCAAAGCTCTCAGCTCTCCCACTCTCAAACGAGTAATTTCCCTGTTATACAATCTCAAACCCAACGAATTTCATAATAAAACTCTTAAGCCCCCAAAACCCCAAAAACAAAATCATCACAACAAAAAGAAAAAACTCACTTTCCCGCTGCCGCTGCTGCTGCTGCTGCTGGCATTGCGGCGTGTCAGAAAGCGGAGATTTTCACTGAATTATTTTCACTTTTCTTGAAAGACTGAAAACGAAAGTGAAGCAAAGACGAGTCGAATGGAAACCCTCGATGAAGCCCCATTCGGGCTGGAGCTAGGAGATTGTTTTTTGTCTTCACAGAGAGATATTAGATACGAGGTAGGCCTACAAGCAACAGCAACAAACAAAAAACGCGCAGTCTCTGGGTAGCAGTCGATGAGCAGTCAAAGTCAGTGCCAGTGCCGGTGCCAGTGCCAGAGTCAGTGCCAGAGTCAGCTTCGTAGACGGAATCGAGTCGAATGCTGATGAGTTTGGCCTACTTTCACTTTCATTTTCTAGTTTTTGGCTCACAAAAGCGTAATCATTTTTTTTTTGTTTTTTTTCTGAGCCGGTTTTTCCAGAGAGCAAAATGAGCTGAGAGAGAGACCCACTGACAATGAAATAAAGTTGTTTCATATTTCATGGGCTGCTGGAGGAAAAACTATTTCCAGAGGCCTGCAAACAAACCCACCGAAAAAAAGACACACAAAAATGTTTGAAAATTACTCATCGTTGGTGGAGTCGTCGTCTCTCTCACTTTAGGGGGGACCACTCTGATGGATTTCCCATGCAAAACACTGCACTGCACAGCACAACACTCTGCTACACAGCACAACACTCTGCTACACAGCACTACACTCTGCTACATGGCACTACACTCTGCTACATGGCACTACACTTGTATATTGCTCTTCACTTTCACTTTTTTTTTTGTGTTGTGTCTTCCAATCACAATTAGTGACAACACACATACACAGCTCAACACAATATACGATCCACAAAGTTTCTCATTTTAATTGCAACGAACGAAACAGCAACAACAACAGCAAAAACAAAAACAAAAACAACAACAACTACAACTACAATTTTTAATTGTTATTGCTCTCTGTGTTTAGTGCTGGAAACTAAGTAGCAACTGTACTTAATATATTTTCGGGGTAAAAGTTTTAATTATTTTTTTTTTTGTGGATTGGATTTGCATGAGTGCTGCCCCGTGCTGCCACGGTGGCCGTGTTTAATTGGGGGAAAACATTGTGGAAAAGTGTTGGCTTGGAAAAACTGGGCAGCATTTTGGGCTAAATCATTGACTACGAGATGACTGCACATTGTGCACACTGGGAGAAATATTCTTGTGGCCCTAAATGACAGACTACAAATATGAATACAAGTGTGGAAAAATTATTCTAAAATTAAAATTCGTAGCGTAAAAATCTATAAAATTAATAAATGTTTTTTTCACGTGTATAAATAAAAAATGGCGAATATATTGGGTACGATTCCTATGAAAAAATGTGCGAAATATTCCCCATAAATGTGCAAAATGAAATCTTAAATCTTCCTTCCTTCTGATAAATATATTTTAAACTCTTTATCAATGTCTGATGTGTCTGGGGGGAGTGGAAAAACCCCCAAATTTATCAGAGAGCCAAACTTTCAAAGACCCATCTGCAGCTGCTTCCATGTCTGGGGAGGGGGGAGCCTCCGTTTTGGGGTGCGGGTCTGGATGCTGGCTAGACATTTAATCTGTGAATGTTATAGCCACACGAAGAGAAAAACAGCAACAGCAACAGCAACAACAACAACAGCACTCAAACACTCATGTGCCAGTCATTAGAAGCTCATTGTATATTGCGACATCACGCCTGTCGGTCGGTCTCTCGTTCATTAATTGCATTGCCCTGTATCTGAGAGATACAGATGGAAATATATATCTGCCACTATACACCTTCAGCCCACAGCACACCCATTCTCTTGCCTTTGCTCTCCTTCTCCTTCCCCTTCTGTTTGCACACATTTTGCGCATATTTCGGCATTTGATTTATGGCCTCCTCCAGAATGTGCCTTCAAACTTCTTCTTTGGGTTTCTTTTTTTTTTTTTGTAGCCTCCTCCTGCTTCTCCGTTTCTCTCTGCTCTTCTCATAATTTCTCGCTCTCTCTCTCTTGTCTTTCCCGTCTTCCATTTCGTTTCGTTGGTATTTGTTTTATTTGTCGTTTGGTATTTTGATTGAAATTGATTTTATTACTCTTTTTATTTGTTGAACTCAAATTATGTGGCGATTTTTATGATTCTATCTTCGCCCTCTGCGATTTATATGATTTGGAACTCGTTTTTTGGCTCCCCCAACCGCATTGGCAAGTGCCATTCGGGTATTTTCCAGCCCAATAAAAGGGCCTGCTCTCTTGGCATCCATTGCTTAAGAGTTGGCCCATAACATGGCCATGTTTATTCCAAGTAGGCTCCAAAATCAAGCCATAGACAGTACTATTATTGGATTTAAATGGTTTGATTTTTGGCTGAGTTACGATGCTTCCAAGTCAATTAGGAATAGTATTACGTGGGTTTTTAAGCCCAAACTCCTGCCTAAATTCTCCTCTTTAGTAATCTTAGCATTTGTTCATCGTATTAGCAATAGGAAACCCCCCCTATATAATTATTTAGGTTTAAAGTCTGCTAGGGATACAATTTAATGTAATTGGAAAGCCCCAAACCTCACGCTACACTCTCTCGCACCCTTTAGTTGCCACTCCCCTCCCATTTGCTTATTTTTCAGCATCCAATTTATCCAATTAGCCATGTGATCCCTGTCCCCCCCCATTCAACATCATATTCCCCCCTACTTACCCTGCATTTTCGGCTGCAGCAATTGACATCTGTTGTTGGGGCTCATCTGTTAGCTGCAGCGTTAGATGAGGCTCCCGATGATTTGCTGGCTGTTTCTGCTGCTGCTGCTTCTGCTGTAATTTTCGTCGTTGATTTTTTGATGTCTAACTGGAGGATTTAGGATCGAGAGGGGGATGATGCACACATGGAAAAACGCGTACGAAACAAACGTAAATGAAACACTGGAAAAATGAAAGAAAAGAGAAGGGAAAATTGTATTAACATTTGCTACACTCTACGGCTTTTGTTCCCTACTGTTTTATAGTATTATTTTTTAACAAAACGCCCGGCTTGACATAAGTTGCCACACTCGAGGGGCAAAACAGGGGAAGGGGAAGGGGCAGGGCAAAGGCAGGCAGGGCATGTCGGAAGGGGTAGGTAGGGGGTGGTAGGGGGAGGGACACAGAAGAAAAGCTGGCAAAAGCAAATGCCAGATGGCCACTTGAAGACTCAAGTTACAAGAAACACTTAGGGCCAAGACTTGGGGGCCCAGAGCACAGAAACCCAGAGAGATCCCTTTCCCTTAGCCGAAGCAGCAGCAGCAGCAGCATCATCATCAGTGGCACCAGCAGCAGCAGCAGTCCCATGGAAAACCGAAAAATGAAAAACCCTATGCCTATCTCGTACCTAGCCCCAAAGCCTCGGCAAAACAAAATGAGTAAAAGGCGCCAGAAGGAGAAGAAGATTGTGTGTGTGTGTGTGTGTGTGTGTGTGTGTGTGTGTGTGTGTGTGTGTGTGTGTGTGTGTGAAAGGGGGAAAGAAGGTGGCAAGTGGAAGAGGGTGTATGGAGGGGAGGCCTCTTTTGTGTTGCCAAAGGCGCCGTGTAGTGTTCTTTTAGCCCTCCCCCACATACCCCCCCACACCATTCGCTGTTTTCGGCAAGCAAGGGTTAAGGTTTAAGGTTTAAATGTAGCTCGGAAAATGATTCAAACGACGCCGAGGGAGGAGAGGAGCTTCTACGTGTAGAATATGTTGCAGACAATAAGGAGACGTGTCAGCGTGGAAAGGGAATGAGAGAGGGGCAGCTAAATTGTGTGGAGAGATGCCCCTAAAGTAAAAAAATGTTTTCCCATAGAGACGAAGCACATTCAGATGATAGATCATCATTTATCATGGCAAGCATTATTATTTATCAAAGATGAAAGGTTATTGCTTTGAAAATCTTTAAAATAGTCACAAATATTAGCAACGAATGGAAAAATCCTCTCACTATTAATAACATGAATGTGATCCCATTTCAGAGATTTACTTTTCTTTCCATAGGCTTTTGGCAGCTTCTTTCGTTAGTCCTACTATTGTGGCTTGTGGTTAAATCTACAAGATACAATATCTAGATTCTGCGCAAATTAAAGTATTTTTTGTGCTGGGATTCGTTTTCGTTACATTTTTCTTGGACTTGTCCAACGTGTCGTATACTCAACGAGGAGCTGCCGACGATGACAGCCACCACCCAAAAGAGTTTTTCCACACACACACGCATGGTAGCATGGAGCATTCTTTCCACACACACAGATACATTTGTATCTTGTATCTGTATCTTTGTGTGTGTGACATGAGGAGAATGCTTTATTGTATTTACTTTTTAAACATCAACAACATTTTCTTCTGTTGCCATACGATGTGTTGCACCACACAGATACAAGATACAAACACAGAGAGACGGAGCGAGAGAGAGAGAGAGGCGGAGCGAGAGAGAGACAACTGCCACTGCGACTGCATTGCGTTTTTCTTCATTGTTTTTGCCTGCACCCTACCCCCCAGCCCTTGGGGCATGTCCCACTCTTGTCCACTGCACGCTCCTCTCTTCCCCTCCAGAAACTTGTTTTATATAATTTCCTGTGCGCGTGGCACAAAGGCAGCAACAGCAGCAGCAGCAGCAGCATAATCGCATGCCCTCTCTCTCACTCTCTCTCTCTCTCTCTGTCCATTCTTTTGTCATGTATTTTTGCTGATAATAATAATGCATTTCATTGTTGTTGCTGCTGTTGTTGTTGTTCTTGTCATTGTTTATAATTGTTGCTTTGTACGGCGAGCGAAGCGAGAGCTTAAAAGATGCACAGATACATTGGCAGACACATGTATCTGCCAGATACACCAAGTATTTTCCACGAAACGAATGAATTTTCATAACAATCGTCTTGTGATTGATTAAAACAACGAAGCAAAACGCACACGCAAGGGAGAGGATGTTATCGAAGAGAAGTTATATAATAAAAATCGATGGAGAATATTTAAGGGGAAGCGCATAATATTAAAGTATAAATACACCAAGGGAATATTTATTGATTAAATTAATAGAAGAATCCTTAAATTCACATCAAAAACAAACATGTGATTTCCATCAGTTTTGCCATCGAACCTCTCTCTGACATTCCCCCAATCCCCCCGAATACCCAATCAAGCCACTCATAAACCATTAATTTCTAGACCTATTTCGAGAACTGAATACACCCGTTAAGGTATACCAAAGGTAAAACTGACTGCCAGCACGCCACTTCATTAAAAGAAGATCTACTAAATTTTCACAAAAGCATGTTAATTGAGCGAAAGAGAGGGGGGGTCTGCGACACCTCTCTATGGGTTGAAGGAGTAGCTGTATCTGTATCTGTTATACGAGTGTTGTATCTGTATCTTTTGGCTGTTCGCACGAAATAGTTTCAACAAGTCACAGACGAGACTCAAACTGGACGCTCAGGGAAAAACAAATTTCATTTTTGTTTATTTTATTATTGGTCGCGTCTTGAAAATATATTTGTTTGTGGATCGGATTTTATTTTTATCAGCGACCACAGACAAGGAAGGAATGCCTCTGAAGAGCGAGCGAAAGAGAGAGAGAGAGAGAGAGAGAGAGAGAATCTGAGACGAAATGTAAACAAGAACAGAAATGCAGTTTTTTTTTTTGATAATGATTGTCGTCGGCGTTCTGTTCCTCTTTTTTCCTTCGTTTCCTTTTTGCTTTTTCTGCCTTTTCTTTGTGTTCCTTATTGCTACCTCTTCTCGTTCTTATCTCCTGATTTTTCTTTGGGTCTCAGTATTTATTTATTTATTTATTGGTTGTAAATTTATGAAGTAAACAGAAGAAAATACTCCGTACATAACTGAAGAACCGATTGAGGAGATACATATTTTCAAGGAGCACACAATCTGTGGTGCATTCCTGCCTACCTCATTCTTTATCGTTGGTAGATTGCACACAGAAACGAAGCAAGGTGTTAAATGAACTTCAACTATTTATAACTCAGTGAAAAGTCAGTGGATTTTAATGAAATTTAATTCTTTGCTTGGGTGTTGCATTATCTTTCATTTAACATGGAGATTTTATGGTCCAACTGATAACCCTTGCTACATTAAATAACCCTGCTACATTAAATTTTAACAACCTCTTCTTGTCTTCCCTTTTGTTGCACAACAGTTCTGCAGCAGACGAAACTTACGAAAATTAGCCGCATTACAAAAAAAAAACCCCGCTTAGAATCATGCTAAACACAGTGCTCCGCTCCTCTGCTCAACAATGGAACGAGACACAAAACGCCACAGACTCGAAGCAAAGAGACGAGACGAGACAAGACGCTGACAACGACGCAACATAATAATATCTGGACGGGAGGGGCAGGGGGTGGTTATGCAACACACTAAAGAAGCGAATCGGTTGCACAAAGCAAACGAAGACGAAGCGGCAGCTCCTACCTGGGCAAGAACCGGTTTACCCCCCTATCTCTCTCTCTTTTGGCGTCTCTACCTCTCCCAGAGATTCTTCTGCACATTTTACCGTTAACGTAATGGCTAAATCACCGTTTAGAAAACCGCCAACCCAATCCCCAAGAACGGGGCAGAGAGAGAGAGGAGCAGAAGATTTCCAAAGAATTCTCCTCGGCTTCGGCTTCGTCTTCGTTTCGTTTTTTTTTCTGCAGTTCTTTGGCAATTTTTGTTCTTCTTTTTCACAAAGTATTATATTATTTTTTGTTCGTACTGGTAATTACAGTTTTTTTCCGCCAAGACGTGCTTAGAATTTAATTAAATTAAAATTACACAGTGAGTGGCAAAAGGTTGCGGCGAGAGAGAAGTGCAGAAAAAAAGAGAGGTGAGATAATGCACGAAACGTATAATTTTCCACAGAGAGAGGGAGTAATTTTGGGGATTATTCGATTACGATGCATCCCATACATGGCAGAGGGTAAGTCCGATGGGACATTTTGTTGAATTTAATAAAAAATATTTCCCAGTTTCTAAAGGCTCCAACAATCAATAAATTTCCTTAGAAAATGTTTTTTGTTTTTTACTTAATCAGTGCGGGAGCGGATCAGTATCGTTTGTACGAGAGAAAAACGATCCGAAGTTTCCAACCAGAATAACCATATTTGTACAGGCTTTTTGTTTTATTGTTTCAATTATCAAATTATACAAAAAATGATCGCTCATTAATAAGCATAATTTATGACAATATTTGTTAATCATTTCCACACCCAACGCATAATTCCAAGAACTCTCCAAAGTTCCTTCCTTCCAAAAATATATTACGTGACAATTTTATCAACATATTTCTCATATTCAAATAAATAACCCAAAAATAAGGAGTATTATTTATACATGTAGCAACGGAAAGAGTTGTGCCGTAAATTGTGTGTAAATTATGTTTAAACACAAATTTTAAAAGCGCTCTGATTGATGGTTCTCCTGAGGTTGAAATACGAGACAGGTGGAAATATGTTAAAAATATTCACTAAATAAACTATGAGAAAAAAAAGAGGGGTAAAGCTCTACAGAATTATGAAAAATATCGCCATAATGAAGCAAGAAGATGTAGGAACCATGCAAAGAATCCAATGCCAATTCAAGCGCTAATTGACGATCTTGTTTCTACATTCGATCGCAATCAAAACTCATTGGAATAATGGCCCCCAATTGGTGGTGTCGTGTGGTGCTTGGAGATAAGCCACAACCACCTCTGCCTGCTGCTACGAATTTCCATTCCCATTTGTATATTCCGCCCAACCCAAAATGAGTGCCCCTCTTTCTTATCGCTGACACGATTCCGTCGATGGTTTTTTTTTTGGCCAGGTTATCGCCTTGCTGTACTTCTTCCATATCTAAGTAGATCCGCCTTGGCTTCGAGAAAAAAACCTTGTTTGAAATTCCGCAAAAAAAGCATTTCATTTCTCTTCCATAATTTAGGTCGGTTTAA